GGCCGGAATTGCGGGAGGTAGTATGATCTAAGTAAATTTTTTTTTTTGTTGCACTACTTATGATCGCCAGTGTATTATTTTATTTATTATACAATGATCTAGATTGATTTTTTCTTTTTATTAGTTCGAGAGTTATATTATACATTATCCTTTTTATTAGTTCGAGAGTTGTATTTATACATTTTAACTTTCGGGGAGTTTTGAACCTCGCTAGCGGTTTATATATCCGTCTGAGAGTTATTCACTTCGATTGTACATGCCACGAGTCTGATCCAATACACCGCAAATCATTCTGAATTCACATTTTAACGATAAGCAAAAAAAAGGCAAAATTTGCTTACAATTGCTGTGGGATCGATTGTCCACTTTAATCACTGTATTTACTTATTTATCTGATGTTTAACGTTCATACATAGAAGCACTACATAATCGCTGTGTGAGATGACAAAAAGGATATCGATGCTTGGATTAATAGAACAAAAAAAAGTGAAATTTATATTAAAACATTTTCAATCATGGGGAACTGCATGGTGAAAACCTTAATTTAGTAGTTCGTTAACATTTTAATACTTCATTGACATTTCAATAGTTCATTGACATCTCAATAGTTCATTAAAATTCAATAGTTCATTTACACTAACATGTCGAGATCCGCATAAATCGCGCAAAAGCTAATACCTATATAATATCTTAACATTACGTATTAATTTTGAATTGTCTGAATACTTAAGCGGTAGCTCTCTTCTCACATCACATATAGTAATGGAAAGCAAAAAATCCACATCTTGTGACGGAAAAACCTATATGAATCCGCCTGCAAATTCCAAGCTTTTTCCAATCAGTGCTTTAATTCTTTTCATATCTATTCTAATTTATAGATATTTAACTTTCGGTCCTTTTGCACCATTACAATGTCAATTAGTAGGAATTGGATGCCTTAGTACTAAAGTACAAGGTTACGTGGCACCGGAATTTATTAATGTGAAAAAAGCATTTATAACTAATTTCGAAAATGGTGAAGAAGTTGGATCAAGTGTTGCGGTTTACTATGATGGCAAATTAGTAGTTGATTTACAAGGTGGATACGCTGATCTTGAGACAATGCATGAATACGATAATAATACATTACAACAAGTTTTTTCGTGCACTAAAGCTTTTGTAAGCTTTTTTTTTTTTTTTTTTTTTTTTTTTTTTTTTTAAATATACAGTAATTCAGGGATGGTAAATGACCTGATCGTTTGATCAAAATTTAAATTACCCCAAGTCATCGAATAATGACCAGGTCATTTGCATATAAAGTAATTTTATTGGTTGAATTACTCATATAAAAGTTATCGACTTTTCTAATCGATAATCGTAACTATATATCAAAATTAAAATTTTACTAAGTCAATTATTATTTATGCCTTAAGTAAAGTTGTTCGGAATAATAAATTGCATGTATTTGAAAATTTGTTATTAATTTACTTTCGCATATTAAAAATTTTTCATATAAACGTAAGATATGGAAGTGAATAAATAAAAAGTTATTCAATTTCTTAAGGCATAAATATTAATTTATTTAGTAAACTTTTGATTTTAATATATAGCTACGATTATTGATTATATTTTTATAAAGCTTGGCGACCAATTCTGATGGGTTAAAAGATATTAGAATATTAACTAACACATGTTAATGACCTTCTAAGGTCATTTGGATCTTGAAATGACAAATGACTTGTCATTTGGGTCATTTGGGTCATTTGGGGTCATTTACCATCCCTACAGTAATTAAAATTCTGATAGTTAATAATTTTGTCTTTTTATAGAGTGCAATCGTAATAGCACGCTTAGTAGATCAAGGCATTCTTGATTACAATGAGAAAATATCCACATATTGGCCAGAATTTGCTCAAGGTAATAAGGAAAATGTTACACTTAAGGATCTAGTAAATCACTGTGGTGGAGTAAGTTATTTCGACAAGGTGGTAAAATCTGATTTAGAAGATCTTGATAAATTGGCAAAAATTCTTGCTGCTCAACCGCACGCGTTCGGCGGAGTTCCCAATCGAGCATATCATGCAGTAACTTATGGTTGGTATTTAAATGAGGTTGTTCGTAGAGTTGATCCGAAACATCGCACTATTGGAAAAATCGTTTCAGAAGAAATTTTGACGCAATACGATTTAGAATTTTATATATCATTTCCACCAAGTCTTATATCGAGGGTTGCAAAAATATATAAAACATCTACCGTCAAAACAACTATTGAGATGCTTAGTGTCTTTAAGAGTTGGTGGGCTGGGAAAGTGCCAGGATCTTTTTTCTCAGAATTTATTAATAAAGAAAGCGTGATATATAAAACTTATGAAGCTTTATATCCTCTTTCCACGACACCCATTGACCATTCAAAGTTAGAGATTGTTACTGTAGAATGGCCAAGTGCAAATGGACTTACAAATGCCAAGTCAATTGCTAAACTAGGTGCCATGATTGTAAATAATGGCCAATCTCTTAGTGATGATAGTAGTTCATCATCGTCTAGTGTTAGTTCTAAACCTTTTCTTTCAAAGTCCATAGTTGATCTTATCTCTATAAAATCGCCAGCAATTTTTGATTATGTTTATTATTACAACATTACACCTTCATTTGGTGGATTTGTTTATATTAGATTTCCTGGTATTGAAGATGTAGAATTTCTGGGATGGGGAGGATACGGTGGAAGTTTATTTATATGGAACCGGGAATTAGGAATCTCATTCGGTTACGCTATGAACGGCTTGCGAATGCATCCAATGGGAGAACTTAGCGATAAAAGAGCATGGAGTATATTAAAAGAAGTTGTGAATGTTGTCAAAAAATTAAAAAGAGAGCAAGCCTAAATGTTCATTTTAAAAAACAACTAGTCAACCATTATATAAAAAATTTATGTGTCTTTTTATTTTCAACTTAAAAGTGTTACCTTTTTATTAGAAAATCTACATCTTTTTATCTTTTAATTTTTACATGATGATACTATCAATAACATTGAGAATTGTATAGTCTATAACATGCAAAAATGCACCTTACTGTATTGTTGGTGGTAAATAACTATGTATTACAACTTATTTAGTTTTTTCTCACTAGTGTTAGTACAGTGACGAGATTTAGTATCAAGTGGTATTAAATTAAAGTTTAAAATAGAATGAAGTAATATTCGACCGGGGTAAAATCCCATAGGAGTTGAAGTCTGTTTAATTTTACATTATTTATACAGTTTAAAATACTTTTTTAAAAAAAACGAAGAATAAACAAAAAAGAAGTATGATATATAAAAAGTTTTATTAAAAATAATCAAAATCATTTTTTGGTTTTAGAGAAGTTGCGACTTCTTAAAGATAGATAGAATTAGGTTATTACCATGCTAACTTCTCTAAAACAAAAAGGGATTTTGATTATTTTTAATAGTGGAGTCATACAACCCTATTAAAACTTTCTATATACTTCTTTTTTGTTTATTCTTCGTAGTTTGAAAGTCTTCCTATGGGTAAAATCGCCACCTCAAAAAAGTTTCGAAATCATGATTAGGTTCATGATAATAGTATTTATAAAATATCAATTGATCTAGCAAGTTAGTTTTAGAATATTTGTTTATTGAATTTTATGTCTTTAAAAGAACCTTTTGGTCGAGATCTCAACGGTCGCTTTTCATTTTGAAGAATCGAAGAAAATAAATCTACATCGATTGCCGTAACCAAATTTCCATGAAAAAAAAGCAAGAAAATGTAATTGTACCAGAAACCTTGTAGTTTTTATAATTCTGAATCCAGAACGCAACAAAAAAATTATTGAAAAAAAATATAATAAATCCCAAATAGTAACAAATGGCTCGATAGTATTAATAAAAACTTTGAGCCATTGCATAAATTGGAGGATTATAAATGACAATGGAATATTCGACCGGGGTAAAATCGCCACCCAAAATAGTTTCGAACATCACGTAACAACATTGTCGAGCACCAAAAATTCATGTAACTTGAACAAAAAAAATACAAACGAAAATAATTTATGGACTAACAAAATGATAATGATGAGCAATTTTGTTTATTTCGAATAAACTCAATAAACATAAGTTTATTACAGCCAGAAAGTATTATAATTACGGTTTTTCTAAGCATATGAAATATTCAACAGGAGTAAAAAGTTTTCCTTGTAAAATTTTGCTATAATAAATGTCTATAGACACCAATCTAATGGCAAAATCCTGACCTAACCTAAAAAACGAAATTTTTACTTGAAACTTTTTTTGGTGGCGATTCTACCCATGTCGGACGGATCGTACACTAGTTACCAAATTATTTTAGGCTACCCAATTTTTTTTGGAACAATATATTTGTAGCCATGGTTTTTGTAACCATATTTTTTGATGATATCTCGAAATTTTACTAAGGTAACCCCTGTCATATAACATAAGCAAAATGTTCCTCTCACAACTTTATCTTTCCCTAACCCTAACCTTAATTCTAACTCTAATCTAACCTTAATTCTAGGGTTAATTATGGCTACAATAACCATATGGCTACAAATATATTATTTCATTTTTTTTTTACCTAAATTAATTGAATCTGTTATGTAATTGTCTCAGAATTTTGTCACACTTATTTAAATAGATTTTTTAAATTTTTTTATTTAAATACCACAAATGTATAAAAAAATTCCTCTTATATATGCAGTATTATTTAACTATTAATGTAATAAAAGCTTTTAAATTTATTGATATGAAAAAACGGCAAAATATATAATTATGTTTTTAAATACAGATAAGTAAAAACTTTATCAAGATGCGTAAACAACTCACATTAGTCAACATCAATTTGTGCATAAAATTCTCAACAAAAAACTAAACCAAAAAATTGAGTCTTTCGAGTAACATTAAGTTTAATTATTCAGAAGATGGCTGGTTTTCACTTTTCTTATTTTCAAGTTCGGGTACAATACTTTTACCACCATAAGCAACCGGTAAATTATCTTCATCAATAACCGCCAACATGCTATCTTTGACACCACCAGCGGATGTGACCACAAACTTTGCCTTTGTTTGTTCATTCAAAAACACTGAAATAAATTTAAATACCCAGTCTCCCCACCAAGGAATATTAACAAAGAATTTTATCGCCTATTTTGAAAATATAAAAAGTTAATTACTAAGTATTAAAAAACCGAATGATTATAGTAATACGAACCAAAAACTCTGGATAGTTATCCTGCAAAATTTGGGTAACGCTTTTACTAGCGGTCTTGGCAGTTTTATCATACGACGCAAATGTGACAAGGTTATAATCATGAACTTGAATCATCTGATCAACTGTTTTAAAATCCAACAATTGAATTCCCTTTTCCATTAATTGAACTCGCCATCTTAGAAATCTATCTAAATTTCCAAATACTTCTTCATTCTTAAGACCACCATATAGATTATAAGTGATAGGTCGATTTTTTTTGTCATGTTTATGAATGAATCCAACTTTACAAAATGTGTCGGAAGGGAATGATTCTGTAAGTATATCATCTGTTCTGAATTCAAGACGCCATTTCAAGGATTTTGTTAGCATCTCTCTCGCAAGCGGAACGTCCAAATTTCTTTTTAAAAATAAAAGGATGAATTTAGTGAGATTGATGGATTATATACAGGGAATGACAAAAATACTTTAACACGTTTTTTTTTAAGACTGGTCATAAAAGTATTTGTATGCATATCAAAAATTATATGCTGTAGTTGTCAACAAAAAGAATCTGAATTTCATTTCATGCATTTTACTTAATATTGCAATTATTTTTGAGATTATTTATATATTGAATAACATTTGACATAAACTATGTTTCTGAGTTAAGTTTAAAAAGTGTTGAAATATTTTTGTCCTCTTCTGCCACCTTCCTGTACATATACCTTGCCCGTAAATATTTTACAAGAATAACATCAAGTCGTTCATCTGTTGAATTTTTATCCAAGGAAACGCCCCAAAGAGTGTAGTTCTCAGGAACGCCAGAGTCTTTTACAATATCAGGAAGCAGCTCTTTAAGCTCGCTAATTGATTTTTTTTCTTTTTCGTCAAATGTAGAGATGATAGATGTCATCTTGTTATTGCGTTCTGGGTTGAGTATTGTCGTTGAAAAGTTTGTTGATGCAATTATTTAAAAGAAATGGCACTTCTGATATAGTGTCGACAAGATTTTTCTAGAGGTCCCTAGAAATTTCTATAATAATATTATTTTTTTCACTTTAATTGAATTCATTAATTAATAATTACAAAAAACATACTGTTAAAAGAAAAGTCAAAAGGAGAAAATATTGATCGTAAAAAATTAAAGATTATATCGTCATTGTGTAATATATACTAATTCATGTAAAGTTTGAATTACAAAGTTATGGCCAATAAAATTAACCAATCATTAATTGAATAGATGGTCAAAAATCAGCTTAGCCCGTTCAAGCAAAGCCCCTATATGTAACAATATATGAACTTTCCCACAGTCCTACAGTATTAAAGATTTATCGTCTGTAATTTCAACGCTTGAAGTTAAATCTGCCTAAACTTGCTAACTAATGCATGTAATTTCAGGGGCCAGTCAGGCTTAACTTCAAGCAGATGCCAACTTCAAGCACGACAATATCACTGGACAAAAATGACATTTGGATACAATTTCGACACAAAGTCGGGTGTATGCCCCTGAGTGAATAGATATCTTAAAGCACAAAGTCTTTGAGCATGTCCACACGTCTTGAGCTAAAAACAGGGGATGATGAATACTTTCATTACGCAATATAAAAATGGAATAAAATAGGGAATAAAATGGAATTTTTAAAATAAAAATACACAAGGTTGAAATTTTTTGGAAAGTAAATCAGAATAGATTAAATCTTGCATATATTCACATGTATTGGTCTGACTCGTCTAAAAAATTTCCCGACAGGTGAATAAGCCGCTGATGAAATCAGATCAGTTAAAAAAATTATCTGGCAAGCTTCAGCGTAATATTATTGTACTTTGGCAAAAAGTTCATCTTGTCGCAAGCTTGTCTTCAGATTATTTATAAAAATATTCTCTACCTATTTGCACCTAATAAATCTTTGAATTCTTTGTTACTCGTACCATTATTTCTCAAATTGCCTTGGCTGTTTCTTTTGACAAAGTTTGATTGATTATAAATATTTCACCCCGGATATTTTTGAAAATATTATGAAGACATTTGAAACCCGCTTGTCTTCCACTACCTATTGTGTTATCTGGCCTACCTTTTTTTTAAAAAAAAAATAACAGTATGTGCATCGATAGAACACGTGTACTCTATTTCTTTCTTACGGACAAAGATTTGGTACAAATTAACGCTGCATGTTTCATTTGACCAGGAATCAAAATTCGATTGTGCAAACGGCACACATAAAACACGATTGGCAAGTGACAAACCCCGACTCAGTAATTTTGAAAACTTTGATCAAGTTTATTAACTTTTTAAAAATAAATTCAATTTAATAAAATGTTATAAATAATTGAATCACGCCTTCAATATCCAGAAAGCAATGAATACAAACCATGGTCTCAAATTTCAAAAATTCTTTATTTTTCTATATATGATTTTTATTTTAAATGTAACACTGGATTATAAAGTTCGACTTATAATTAAAAAAAACAATTCATATCGTTAATTAGAGATTGGAATCGATGAGTTTCGAGCATTGATTGGTCACAAACTTTAGATGTTCGAATGTTCATTGAGTTTTTAAAAAATACATAAAAGAATTGAAATTTATAAATTGTACCATTATCTCTACATTACTTTACATGACTTGCGACATTACAAAAACAACTTGTACTATTATCGCTACATACAATTTACATGACTTATAATTTGCGCATTTATAATTTGCAGGAGTAAAATCAATTGTTTTCATATTACGCTTTAGAAATACCATTCTGCCAAATAACTTTGGCTTTAATAACGTTCTTTTCGCACTCATAACATTTCCTGCATCTGAAAACAAGCACTCACTTGGTGTACTTGTTTGCAGGAATTGCAAAAAATTTTCGGACCATTTCATTTAAAATCGGAAATTGCCGTTTTTGTAAAGACCACCATACCATGGGATCTCCCTCGAAATCAAGCTAAGGAAGAGCAAAATAATTTGTAACTTCGTTATTATCTTGGTTTTGTGAGCTTGATAAAAAACAGATTAATGAACCTTTTACGGTAAGCTTGTTTTTTTTTTTGATTAGTTACAGAAACTAATGTTGATGTCGATTAAGTAACTTGTTTAGATAAAATAGTGCCGCACCTAAATTCTGCATACATAGCACGTAAAGTTTCTTCAACTTGATTTCGCTCATCAGCCGATAAAACGTAATTTTTTGCATTTTAGATCCAACTAGCTCTCAAACCCGGGCGATGCCCCGGGGGCGCGTTCTCAATTTTTTTTAGTTTTTAATTATTTCTAATTTTCATTATTTAAATTTTGCAAGTGTTTAGAATATTAGTATTTAAGCTTTCTAGCTCTCTGACCTGGGTGCTGCTCCGGGGTACGTTCTTAATTTTTTTAGTTTTTAATTATTTTTAATTTTCATTATTTAATTTATTAATATATATGTTTTAAATTGGTTTTATGTTTTTACTTTATAGTTTTTATAGTTTAAGTATTTA